GGCAGCCCTTCGCCAGGGTTGCGAGGACATGTCAGAGCCCAGAAGCCCTGAGTCGTTGCCCGAAAAGGCGGGCAAAAAGAAGGGGAAAGGTCGGGGCCGTGGCAAGGCCAAGATGAAGAGGCCTGCTGCAGCTAATGCCCGAGAGCCACCTGCCAAAAAAGGCAAGATCGGTAAAGGCAAAGAAAATGAAAATGAAGATGAGGAGGAAGGCCAGGAGGAAGAACACGACAAGCAGGAGCAGAGCACAAGCAAAGCCAGCAAGAGCAAGAAGAAGGGCAAGACGCCAGGCAACAAGAAGGAAGAGGAGCAAGACAACCCAGAGGAAGAGGAGCAAGAGGAACAGGAGAACCCAGAGGAAGAGGAACAAGCGAACCCAGAGGAAGAGGAACAAGAGGACCCAGAGGAAGAGGGGGAGCAAGAAGAAGATGCCGGGATAAGCGAGGAGCTACCGCCGAAGGCAGCAGGGTAATTTGCTTAGACGGTCGATCTTTGTTCTCGCATTGTCTTTCAACAAGTGAGCTTGATTGGAATTAAGGCAAGGGTATGATGTCGATTGGTTTCGATATCTAGTTTACAAACTTATCTCCTTATTGTCGGCCTCCCTCTTACTCTCTTTCGACTTTCGCTGTCCCTGTTTCTTCAATCGGTCCTGCATATGCCAGGTGCAGCAGCACTTGAAGGAGATGAGGGCCATTGCCGCCAAGGACCATCGGTTCCTGATTGCTGAGCAGGAGATTCTGAATGGAGTCAGGTCCGATTCTTAATTCTGAATAAATCAAAGCTTGAAACCCTGCCTAAACCTTGATTTTCGATGAGGTCTTGGACCCTGGAGAATGAAGCATCTGCCTGCAAGATCGGAGTTCGGCCGGAGTCCCAGAAACGTGAAGATTAAGATTGCTTCTCTGTCGCCACACAGAGCGATTGCACATGGAATCAGGTTTCAGTTCAGCTCGGGCAACTTCTACATTAGTGGCATACGCAAAGCGGTCCTAGACAAGCTGAACAAAGAGAAACTGTGCGATCACGAGTTTCAGGTCGCTGGCCCAGATACCGATTGCATGTGTCGCACCATAGCTATACTGCTGCCCCCCAATCCCGAGATCAACCAAAAAAACACCCTCACGGTGGGCTGGTCGAAGTTTCCCAACATGCAGAAAGCGCCTGGAGCCTCAATATACTGGTTGCTGGCTATGCTCTTGGCTTTGTGTCACTGGAATCTTCTCTCGCTTCTCAGGTGGGAGTTCGCTACACGAGCAGCCGAATGGTGATCCACGCGAATGTGACCATCGAAAGATGTTGCTGGTTCTGCAAAAGCTGGTGTTACACATATCCCGGGTTTAGGATTCAGGGTTTAGGGTTTAGGGTTTAGGGTTTGGGGCAAGAGGTCCAGGACTTTCAGGCTCTGGGTCTTTTGAATCAGGGCTTCAGTTTTCGAGGTTAGGGCGAGGTTGGGGTCTGAAGCTCTGGGCTAAGACTAGCTTGAGACCCTTAAGCCCCGAGACCCCGAGACCAGTGGTTCAACCCCCGAAGCCAAACCCTCCGAATAATAGCCCTTGGCCCAACACACCGCAACAAAAACCGGAGGCCTTAATACCTAAACTCCCGAGTCCAAATAAACAATCATTTCTTCCAGACCCCAACTTGTCCCAACCCAGGCTGGGAAGTCGAGCAGCTCCCGGCTTTCAGCTCCGGGTTCAGGAGAATCTGCAGCAGCTGGCTTTGGGTTTCTAGGTTAGGTCCGTTTAGGGTTCGGTAAGGGTTAAGGGCCAAAGGTTAAGTACGTGTTTAAGGATATTCGTGTCGAACAAGCTCAAAACATGTCAGCCGGAAACCACAAAAGCACCGACTAAACTAAACCCTAAGCCCTTAAACCCTAAACCCTGAACCTAAAAATGTGGCAGAACCTCCCGCCATGATCGTCGTGCCCTTGAACAATTGCTTCGTAGGACCGAGCCAATCCCCGCAAACCTGCTCCTGCTTCTTCTTACTCATGCTGCTGCTACTACTACTACTACTACTACTACCCCTACTACTACTACTACTACTACTACTCCTCCTACTCCTTTTCTACTCCTGCTGCTAATGCTGCTGCTACTAGTATATTCTGCTACTGTTCCTACTGCTGCTCATGCTGCTGCTGCTCCTACTGCCCTTACTGCTACTCCTACTCCTACTCCACTCCTACTCCTCCTACTACTACTACTACTACTACTCCTTTTCTACTCCTGCTGCTAATGCTGCTGCTACGGCTACTACTGCTGCTACTACTACTACTACTACTACTAGTACTACTACTAGTACTACTACTAGTACTAGTTCTAGTACTAGTACTAGTACTAGTACTAGTACTAGTACTAGTACTACTGCTACTGCTACTGTTGCTACTACTACTATTATTATTATTGTTATTATTATTACTGCTACTACTTTAAGCTTCTGGAACCCGGGGTCTGCAGTTGTGGAGAAGGATGTCGTTTGTGCTACAATACACAATACAAATTAGTGGAGGCTTTCCGATTGGAGAGGCAGGTTTAAGCTGTCAGCTAGGACAGGATTTGTGTCGGGGTTTCTGGTAAGCCCCAAACTGAATAATCTGATCTAGGAACAAGGAACAATATGAAATAGATCCGAGCTGACCCCAACCATCCTCTACGCCTCTTTGCCTAGCCGGAATCGGAGAATCGTGCTGGCCCACTATAACTCTTCATTCGCCCTGCCCTGTGTACTATCTCCTGGTAATAAACTAAACAAAGTACGAAATAATATCTCCAACGACATAGCATAGGAATTGGGGCTCGAGAGCATAGGAATTGGGGCTCGAGATCCTGAAGTTTTTGGCATTCACTGTAATGACCTACTTCCTTATGCAACACAAACCCTAAACCCAAAAACCCAAACCCTAAATTGACCACGAATGCCCGAGGACCCTGGCTGGCTTGGCGACTGGACTTGCTTTGCTGCTACCGAAAGCAAAAGACAGCAAGGTTTAGGGGTCTAGGGTTAGGGACGCTTACGGTTTTCGTCGCTGGTCTGGATAGCAAGCCCGAAACCCGAGTGACCTCACAATACCTAGTAAGGTTCTGCGAGCTGAAGACGAACACTGGGGTTGCTTAGGATTTAAGCTTGGAGCCTAAGGGTTCAGGGGTCAAGGGTTAGGGTCCTTTAGGGTTTTCGTTGCTGGTCTGAATCGCAAACCCGAAACCCGGATGACCCCAAAATAATCCTAGTGGATGCCAACCATTCATCTGCTAGCCAGAAAACGATTTGGCTCTCTCCCGATAAGAACAATACGACCTGTAGTGCTGAGGCTCGGTAGGATGAAGCAAATCTCGAAGCAGCTGGAAGACACCGAATTGCCTGTGCCAGGGTCTCTGTTCTTCACATAAAGAAGTTATGCCTTATTTTATTTTTCTGTTTCGATTCGTGCAAAACCACTACAAAACCATGCCCGTGAGAACAGCGTGAAACCAGCGTGAAAACCCTGTGAAACCCACACAGATCCCCGTGAAAAGCACCCAGATCCCTGTGAAAACTCGGTATCCCAAAAACACGTTCGGGAGTGACTCGAAATCAATGTGTCCGCAACAGCATTCACTGCCTGCTGCAGGGCTCCATCTTTGATCCGGCCTATGTATTGCCTGTGCTTGTTGAAGCCACTTTTCGGCTTTTGTGTTGAGATCCTAGTTTTGCCTGGGGTCGGTTGCTGCTTCGTAGAATGGTGACAGTGGAAGATGTGCTTGCTAGAGCCCGGGCTAGGGCAGGCCGGGCCCCGAGTGCTCCCGCTACACCGGCTTCGAAGCCGATCTTGAAATCCCCATCCACGCGGTCCTGGCCTAGAGCTTGGTTCGTGTTTCGGTGTAGTCGTGATGATTGGCCGCAACAAATTGTTCTCTTTGGTTTTGGTTCATCAGGTCCTATGACAGCAAGAACGAGGATGCCCAAAACTCGTGGCCGAAGCTCGATGATTCCACAGGAAAGAGGAAGAAGCCCGATGAGTCGACAGGAAAAACGAACTTCCAGAAAGCCAGAGCCAAGCCCCTCCGAGTCGACACCCAAGACACTTTGGTGGTGGAGACACCTCCACACCGTGCAAAGTCGGTTGATGCCGGCCACTCCGAGACCAAATCGAAGTGCCCAAAGAGGTCTCTCAGTTGTGAGCTGAACAATGCCGCCACCCCACCAAAGAAGCTCATCAATTTGGGACCATCCAATCCAGCCTCCAAGAAGAAGAACAAAACACCAGAAGATAAGAAGAAGGAGAAAGAGGAAGCCAAGCTTGCAGCCTACGAAATGAAGGATCATGCCACGGCAAGAAGCTCTAGCGACCCGATGCCCCGAGGTTCTAGGCTTGCAAAGAAAGGAAGCCCCAAAGCAAAGGCGAGCCCAGTTGCCAAAAAGCCCAGCTCCCCTGCAACCGCAAAGACCAAGGACCCCGCCGAGAAGCCCACGAAAACCCCGAAATCCACGCCGCCAGCAGCCACGACCAAGGAAAATCGGGACAATAAGAAGGCCAGAACCACGAGCCCCGACAAGAATGAGAAGAAGGCCCGTGGCAGGAGCCCGCCTAGCCACAGCCACGAAAAGAGCCCCAAGAAGGCCCGTGCCGCACACAGCCCCAACAAGTCCAGCACCACGAGCCCCAAAAAGAAGGCCCCCGAAAGTGCCAACAACGACCCCGAGACGTCCCGTGCAGAGAGCCCCAAGACGAGTGGAGAGAACAATGGCAGCAAGAAGTCCGAGAAGGATACGGTGGCAGTTGAGAACAAAAGGAAGGCACACACAAGCTTTACATGAGATTCTGGCGATCGGTCAATGAATGTCTTGGGCTCGGATCTGATAATGAAGTCCAATCTTTCTTCTTTTCCCGTGTGATGTAAAGTATCAGGTCGGGAGACTCCTGGGGAGATCAAGGATGCCTTCGCCAGGTTCAAGTATTGTCTGGGCCTAAAGTGCATATTATGTTTGGCTTCAGCATCTAAGTGGTAAAGTTGTTTTCTGAGGCAAGACGAAAATGACGACCCTCTACGAGGATTTCACACAGTGTCAGGGAAAGTGGCAGAACTCGTATATTATGAAGACGATCAGGCAGAAGCACAAGAATGGAAAGCGAGCCGCCAGACGCTGGCTCACCAAAGCCCAGCTAAAGACCCACTTCAATGATGATAGTGTGGTAGATGCCATCGTTATCAGGAAGGAAACGGATAAAGAAATTGCAGCAAAAGAAATCCGAGACCACCCCGACCTGCCAGGCAGGGCTACTTGTATTAGTTTGCAATCTTCGTTCCGTCTTTATTTTAAATAATAATGTAATGAATGATGTCCTGGAGGCCTCAAGCAATTCCTTGTTTTGATCGAAGACGAGGAGGTGGATGAAAGCACTGACGAAATCGAAGAGCTTTTCCGCACGCACGAAAATCAAAACAGCGATTCCAGCTCGGATGGCTCGCAGGACATCATTTTATGAACTTGTCCGTTCATACAATCCATTTCATAAAGATGCATTATCTCATGGGTTTATCTTGTTTTTGCTGTTGCAGGATGGAAGCGATGATGATTCCAGCAGCAGTGCCTCTGCAAAGAAAAAGAAGGATAAGAAGCAGAAGAAGGAAAAGAAGAGCAAGAAAGACAAAAGCAAGAAGCCTAAGAAGAAGGGCAAGGGCAAGCCGAGGAAGGGGAAGCCGAGACTCAACAAAACGGAGACACAGGAGGACTTGGACAAGGAGCAAAGCCGCAAGGTTCAGCAGGAGGGAAAAAAGGCAGGGTTCACACACAACGAACTAAGTAAGTCCCAAGCCATAAACCCTAAACCCTAAACCCTGAACCCTAAACCCTAAACCCTAAACCTCCCTCAGATCGCCAGGTCATCAACATCCTGAACCGCAAGATCAAAGATGCAACCTCAAAGGCCAAGTCCAGGGAAGTCAGCTCGTTGTCCGGGTCCCAAAACGAATGCATTTCATCTAACATTAACCCATTAACTGAAAGCCCCTTTGCGAGGAACGAGATTGTCCGGGAGGCCTTGAAGAAGGACCTCCAGGCTGTCGTGAAGAAGCTGACCTCAGCCCGTACCCAGTTGCAGTCTGCTTTGGACTCGGTTCAGGACACTTCTGGCCTAAACCCTATAAACCCTATAAACCCTATAAACCCTATAAACCCTAAACCTAAACCCTAAACATACCAGTGATTGCTGGGTTTTTGACATGCTACTTACTCTCCAGGATGACCGGATCTCCCAGAAGACGACGGCTGCCAAGGAGATTTTGGACCAAGCCGAGGGATCTTACAGTTGGGGTCAAGAAGAAGACTGAGAAGAAGGGTGGAGACTAGATCCTAAGAGGAGCATCGATGCATGGTCCCGAAAATAACCTATCTTAGATCGTATCTGTGTTACATGTAGCATACACCTACTTTGTTTTGACGGCGAGGGGCCTCTAGATGCACTCTTAGGGGTGGGGGTCTGCTGGAGCGAACCGCCCCTCGGACAGTCTGTCAGAGCTGCAACCAGTTATCCTGCCAAGTAGCATCGTGCGAGCCGGGGGTTTCGTGCAATCGTGCGACATGAGTTGGTGGGCTGCGACCGGTGACAAACAAGTGCAAAGCTTCAGTGAGTGTGCACTCTATGCTATGATGAGCTTCGAATCTATCTTATTCAATCACCAAAACTCATCGAACTCTGCTTCGCAGGTGCCGCTTACCGGGACGGCGAGTACTCCGAGGTTGTTGCTGATATGATTGACAACATCGCTTCAGCTGTGGCTTGGCTCAATATCCGTGATTGCACGAAAACGGGGCCCACGCAGATACAGTCTCATCTTTGCATCCGAGGATACCTCGATTGGCAAGGAAATGAGAACGGCGAAGTCGTCGGTGACAGCAACTCGCCAGTGACTAGTCAGTGGCTTCGTTTCTAGCACCAACCTCTACAAGTGTATGTCACATTGGACGGTTCTTTGAGGATGCTCGTGGTCAGCTTCCAGCCCCACTGCTCAAGTTGGGCTCGTTCAGCGGTGGCAACAATTCACGAGACTTTCAAAGATCTATGAAGCTGCCAGTGGTGGGCCTAGGGATGATTTGGGGTTATACATAGGCTACTGAAGTTATTAAGTATTAAGCTGGGGAACACACTAGTGCAACCCTGACAGGAGCCGGTGATGGTAACAACTTCTGTAAAGGCCAAGCAGGATTCTAGCGAAGTTGTTGAGGTGAAAATTCCGGTGCTATTACCGCATCGAATCCTGCTTTATTTGTTCACTGTGCTGGGGGTCTTGATCCGGCCGGAGGACATCCAGCAATACTGGCAGCACTGCCATGAGTTTTGCATATGGGCCCAAAACAAGGACTTTGATGGCAGCCACGTGCCCGTGACCATCTACGGCGACACTGCTCGGTATGGGCAGAGGTATGATCAGGCTAAGGTTACAGGATGCTTTATGAGCTTACCGCTGTGGCGACCCACGTCAACAAGAATGTCGCAGTGGCTTCTGTTCAGTGTGAATGCTGATCTGTCTTTGGGGCCAGAAACTCTGAACCCTTTATATCTGGCCATTGTCGAATCATTCAACGAAGCCTTTCATGGCCGAAGCCTCGAAGGGCCCCTGCTACCACACAAGTTCGCAATCACCGAAATTAAAGGGGATTGGGAGTTCCACTATCACACCTTCGGGCTTAGACGATGGTGGAAAACTCGATATATCTGTTGGCGGTGTCATGCTGAGAACCACGCGAATGCCACCCACAGCTGCTTCGACTTCAATGATAATCCAACTTGGCAGGGGACAACTGTTTCCCATGCTTCGTTTGTGGCCAACATATACGGCGACAAAACCTTTGAATCCCTGCAGCAATCGGAACCCTGTTTAGATTGCTCGGAGGCTATTTTGTGATCGCTCAGAAGTCATATCACAGCTCCATGCACTAAGGTCCTTTTCTGGGGCTGCAGTGTTTTCATGCTGCAATGATTTGCCATTGCAGCTTGCACAACATGAACCTCGGCATCGCTCAGGATGCTAATGGATCTACACTGAACCCTGCCCGCATATACGGTTTTTTGCACAAGGGATCGTGTCATTTTGGGTGCCCGAATCATAATTCTGATTGATTAAGGATGTTCTTGATTGAGAATGGATATTTCGGCTGCAGCGAGACCATAAGTTTCGAGAAACTGCTCGTCATTGCCTTTCGCGATTTCAAGACATTCCAATGCCACTCTGGTCAGAAGTGCTCCCAAACCAAGTTTGTGCCGAGGTTCGTTTTGTGGCGAATTCAGCAAATATTTTGTCGTTCAAGTTGTTCCAGCATGCTACCTGGTTCCCTTTGTCCTAGCAAAGGTTTGGAAGCCTGAAACCCATGGGGCTCACATGGGCCACAAAGGGCATAACGGCAAGATCATCGCATATTGGCTGGGGGACTGTATGCAAAAGGCTGTGGAACGATCTACGGCACCCGGTCGCGACGTTTGCAAATGGCTACTTGAAACAAATAACTGGCCAAATGATGAGCGACTGGAGCTCATTGCAGCGACGATGATGCTTTCTTTAATTTATGCGAGTTGCTCCTACCCGTCTTAACAACCCAATTCCAAAGCCCTGAACCCTGCATTGTCCGAGGCAAACACTGTGTGCATGGTTTCGGGAGGTCGAGAAGCATGGTCGGTACCTGCAGCTCGTTTGCCGAATCCGGTACTTCTTCTGCACACTAATTGATCATACATAACTCAGGACTGCCGAAGCAGCCGATGCAATATATGGGCATGGCATGAAGTACCTCCGTTATCACCTCATTCTGTGTAAAATTTCCATGAGGCCCCTCGGGTTAAAGTGAGATGAGCTTGTTTAAACCTAGGCTCTTGCTGTTGCCAATGCAGGATGAACAAGTTGCATTGGCACATCCGGCCCAAGATGCATGCTGCCAGTCCGCAAGATGATGAGATCTGGAATTCTGTGTTTGTGTGCTTAACACCTAAGGCTTTCCATCATCAGATGAAAGATGCTCGGGCACGGCGACATTCGGATGCATCCTGAGCATTTCGTGAATCAGAGCATCACCGGCAATCTGAAATTAAGGATTGAACCCAAGACACCACCACACGTTCCGTGAAGAAGATGCAATGCGATGGCTGAAAGGTATCTCGGCTAATGATTCGGAATCGAATTCCTTCTGCAAATTCAACTTTACCTTTTGGCTCAGGAGTGGCTCATCGATGTGACAAGAAAGATCTAGAGCGGTCGATAATGAAATACAGCAGGTATCGTCTCTTATCCATGCACCGACGAATGTTTCACTTGAAAAGAGCTGCAAGACAGCGAAACCGCTGAAAAAGGGGGGGGTCGCACTCCTCGACGGCGGCCGCACCAGGCAGCGGTTGCTCTGCTGCTGCAGCTTTGTTATGTTATCCCCGAACTTAGGAAGTCCCCTATTGAACCTTTACCGAAAATCAACAAACACAACCCAGGCAAGTAAAACAAGTAGTTTCAGTAAAGATCGTTGTTTATGCCAACGCACCCAGTTCCTACGTGGTTTGGACCTGTAGGGTATATATATATATTCTTATTATGATTATGATTATTCGTGGCTCGCCCTTATCGGGG